CTTATATGGATGCATATCTATGGATAAATAAGACAAATTGTCTGTGAAGGACAAATTCTGTGGAAAGGCTTGATGTTAGGAAAGATATATTCACACTCAACTGGCAGTACTAATCGGACATTTCCAAAGCTCCGAAGGCAAATGTTTGTTCATATTCCAGTGTTCGTTGTGTTGGCATGACCTCGTTTCGCAACTTGGTCGGAGCATCAGGAAGATCTAGTGGAACGCGTCCTGCCATAGTATTCGTGATTTCCAGCATCGGCCCATTGACTTGGTACTTTCCCAAACGTTTCGCAGGTATCGTAGTCGACATGGTCAGCGAGAGGCATGAGCATTATATACACACAATAGGCAATAAAATTAATCCAAACATGACACAACATTACATGATCGTACGCTAATCTTTTGTGTAATGAAACAGCTGACCCCGAACGCACTTCCGGTTAGGGAAGTGAATTTCATTCATTTGCAGGCAGGTAGAGTAAGGTCGAAGTAGCCAACTAAATCATGGAAGAAGTGGGTTGATCTCGTTGTCGCAACTTGGTCTTGTTGTCAGGGCGACTATGTAGAACGCACCTAGCCTTAAGTCGCCCTGACAACAAGACCAAGTTGCGACAACAAGGTCAACCCACTTCTATAAATTGAAAGGAGACTGCGACCATACCAGAGGCCACAACATCTTGGTCTTCATAACTTCAATTATGGAAAGCCTCATTAAGATCGCGAAGTAAGGCGCATAAAAAAGCGACTAGGATTGCAGCCGGCCACCTTTTCTCTTGGTTTAGTATAGTTTTGCACTATTTCGTGAAGTGTGAAAATACCTGCCCTGATGATGTCTGTCATTGTACAGACAAAAACCTAGCACAGTTTCATCGGGGTCGCAGGACAGTGAGCCGATAGATTCTTCGCACAATTCAACAGTCTTCCATACGCGACAATCCTCCTTCGGTTTCCGGTGAGACCACATCACTACTTCCTTCCAACCAACTATCCCTTCGAAATGGAGAGTCAAACCACATTAAAACCCATGATTCAATTATCCTCTTTCTTATCCACACCCAAATTGTATCTCATCCGTTGGGGCCCTGTGTCCGGCTTAAGTCATATCTGCCGGTGTGAAAATGTATCCCTCCGGAATCGGGAAAAGCACACTTCTTTCCCCCTTCAAGATAACACTCCCAACTAATCCTAGGGTACTAGGATGTTCATGTGTGTTGGCTGGTTTTCCCCATGTTCAAGCATGTTCCCAGTCGCCTCCCATTAAGGCACACACATGAGAAATGTACACAAACACACACGCACACACACTGGTGACCTATATCTGACCCACCTTTCCTCTAATTTCCTATTCCACATCCCACAGGTAGACCTCCTCCCCGGTAAATTTTTGGCTAATTCCAGTTTTGACTGCTCTCACTGCAATCGCCTTTTCTTGCATTCCCTTTGTCCCTCATGAGCCGCTCCTTGGCAATGCAACTTCCTGTTGTTGAATAGTCCTCAGAGCGTCTTCTTTTAGGTGAGCTCCATGAATCTCCAAGTCTGCCCAGGCAGTACGCGAAATTATCGCTGACTCTTCCTTCTTCTAATCTACTGTTTACCAGGTTTATTTGAAAGAAGATCTCCACAACCTCCCTGACTTTCCGATCAGGAAATCGTCTAATTTTTTCTACATGAGGCGAGATTGCGAATTAGTCAGCCAAATATCGCATAATTACTATTTGCTGCTCGGGCGACATTTTAAAATTCTCCTCCAACTTGTTCATGTAGACATTAGCCAACTGAGGTGACAGTGGTGACCCCATAAGCAGACCAAATATTTGATAGAAGTGGGTTGACCTCGTTGTCGCAACTTGGTCTTGTTGTCAGGGCGACTATGTATAACGCACCTAGT